ATTAAATTTTCAAGTATTTTGATAGGGCCAAAAAAAACCATTGCCTAGCGTCATTAGCTCCCGGATGGGTGACCACCTGGGTTCTTAATAACAAATCCATTCCCTATGTATACAATAAGTATTTCTAAACCGCCCTACAAAATTTTAATAACCATAGTTTCCAATGCTAATGTTGAAAAATGTATTATGCAATAGTAAAAATAACACGAATTCAATAATTGTACATTGTTTAAGTCTATACAATATTATAATTCACAGTACAACTCTGCATGAATAATAATTTACAATAAGTACCTATGTAATTTGAGATATTTTAGATGATTAAATTTTCTTCAGAACACTTTATCTTTATCTCATGCTACATCAATATCTCATAAAATAATACAGACACTGCGACGAATAGATTATCTATTACACAGTAAAATGTTATGTCGATATAATAAATAATAATACAATTCATTTAAGAACTATTCAAAATTGTAATAATTCAACTTCTGGTGTCGAGTGTAATTTTTCTAGGTATCATATTTCATATAAAAATAAAATAAAATTATCATGATGCCACATGACTTTACTGGGGCTGAATGATAACTATAATTTTAATGTTGGAAGGGGGCAGAATTCAGATAATAATATCCATTTATATACTTACTTATATATTTCAATGTTGTTTTGCTTGGACGAGGAGTCTGATCTCCTTGGTTTGGAATGGTAATCAGAGTGTCTTGGGTATTCTTAGTTTAGTTAAGTTATAATTGTGGCCATAAAACTGGAACCAAAKTTCTTTTAGCGTTTTTCCAGCCTTAATCACCTTTTACGCCTAAAAGATCCAATACAATTTAACAATATCGACTATTTTAAAAAAATATTAGGGCATAGGCATTTTATTTTTGGGGGATAACTATTTAAAAAATAAAATTTACCTTAATTATTCACGTAAATATTTAAATAGTTAAATCAATGTACAATCAATATTTTTATCTTTTAACCTCAATAAGACGTTATATTGATCACATAACAAGTTTTGTCTGATCGAATAATTTTCTTCTCCGTGCCATAGAAATTTTTTACATTCTACCAAAGTCTAGAATAACAATATTTAAGGATATCAGTTTGTAATACATAATAATATTATACAAATTATTTCACACTTTAGAAAAATCGAAATAATTTTTATGACACATGATACCTGTCCATCGGGCTGTATGTTCTCGATTGTACAATTATTTTGCAAATGACAAAGACATAATATGAACAATCTTGTAATACTATTAAAAATAATACAATAAGTTACACATAGGTAACCATTTTCATATTAGTCATYAATAGAAGATTATTGATTATCATTTAATTATCTTTTATGTTCTATGTAAATAATGTTTACTGACCATCAGTTGCTACATTTTCATAAAGAATGAATAATATATTATTTTAAGACAAATGTATTCTATACTTGATTTTAAATATCAGTATATCACCTACCTATAATTTTTCAGTAACTGACAGTGGTTTAGTTGGTAGTCATTAAAGGAATGATTAAATGTGACACTTTCACATTTCATAAATTTTTTTTWAATTTTAACTGTCTCTAATTGTAATCAATATTTCACTGAATGTATGTGTTTGATAATTATATGTGTTTATTTCTTGTGTATATGTAATTTTTCTTGAGTTTAAAATTATTTTACCTGGTCTGTTTTTTTATGAAAAAAATTGCTTAAGTGTCCAGCTAAAAGGTACCTATAATTTTGTGATACAATGACTGTTTTATATAGGTAAAGTATTAACTACAATATAATGTTTCTTCGTATATTATATTTTTGTACTGATTTTCATACTTGCCACCATTAGTGCAAATAGAGGGGGAGTTTGGGGCAACTTAGTCCCCAAAATTTTGATCAAGTCCCCCCAGTTCAAAATCTAGTAATTAGTACTAATATTTATACTTATATTATAGCCTATGGGGACGAAGGCTTGAATCCCTCTAAAACATTTAGTCAATTTGTTCCTATGTTCGCCACTTCAATTATCTATAGTTGTTGAGTAAGGGTTATCAAAGACCTAATGTTTTATTTCATAATCTTAAAAATGAGTATCATGGTTTGAAAGTTACATCATTTATATTTGGATACAGTACAACAACGCATTTAAATCTTTGTAACACAACCTRTGCATATAACACTTTTCAGTTCATATCTGTAGACCTGTGGTATAATGGGTTAAAATGGGYGAGTCATCTGTCCCTATATATTATATTGGAAAAGCGCAAATATCTTCAACTTAAAAAAATTACCTAATGAAAATGAAAATTTTATTTAAATGAAAAAAAAATTTATAGATCGTTAGAATCACGTTTCTTTATTATCTTGGAAATAATTTTTAACGTTAATAATGAAAAAAAGAGCGGTATTTCTATATTATTTCTATAGGTGTACTAAAATGTTATAAAAAACTATATTTTATAATAGTTTGTTATTTTTGAAAACCTTAATATTGGTTATTTTTTGATTTAGACAAAATGTCTCTTAAAATTAAAAGGAAACAATCAATAATATGCAATTGAATAATTAGCTAGAAAAGGAAAAAGAACAAAGTTTATCCTTGTAAATGGTACAAAAACTGTAAAARCGTTGGTAAATACACAAGTTCATGTACTAGGATCTTTTGAAAATATATAAGTATTTATGAGAGCTACTTRTTTTTTAAAGTTATGGACAACTACAAAAACTCTTTAAAAATAAATTTTTATAAAAATGTATATTATAAAATTAAAATAACAAAAGTTATGTCCTGTATAATTTATTTTTTAATAAAGTTCAATTTAATTACATGTAAGCTGTTTTTGACACCTGTTACACCGTGCCATCTGCCAAATCTATGTTCATTACCAATGGCTACAATCAAACGACTACCATCGTTTGTGAATACAAGTCCATTTATAAAACCTTTAACAGGAACATTGAATAGAGGTAATAATGACTTAAAGTTGTTAGTGCACCTCCAAAACTTAATAGTTCCATTGTTGCTTCCTGACACTATCAGGTCTGAATTTGCTAAAGCTCCAACTGCAGATACCCAGTTGGGTTGATTGTTAGTAATGTTAATTCCATGTGCATTTTCAACATTACACAATGGTTTTTTCTTCAGTGTTCCCCAAATACTGACAACACCATTATCACTACCTGTGACAAAATGTGCACTGTCAATTTTTTGAACAGTATCTATTGAACCGCCTGTTCCATTGAATATCAACTGTGTTTCATCCTGTATCTTCCACACTCTAACTATATTCTCCATGCCTCCGGCAGTTACTATACGATCTTTTTGTAACATGTCTATGCAGGTAACTTCGGTCTGATGGCCAAAAAGAGTTTCCACATAGCACATGTCAACAAGATTCCAAACCTTGACGCTTTTGTCTTTAGAGCAACTGAATAGTTGATTTGATTCATTGCAAATAGTTAAGCCAGTAACGCCATCTTTATGCCCGGTCAACGATCCAATATAGTCTAAAGTGATTGGATTTCGAACCACAATAAGACCAGAATTGTCTCCAGACACTAAAAAATTGTGTGAGACAGCGAGAGATAAGACTGGATAGTTGTGGTGGGTTGGATTGTGCTGTGGTCTTTTGCGGTTATAGCTCAAAAACTTGTGTACTTTACAAGTTTCTAAGTCCCATTGTATTATAGAAGAATCTTTTGAACAGGAATACACATACTTATCATCAGGTGATATAACGGTGCAAGTAATAGCCTTGGCGTGGTTTCTGTTACGCAACTCAACAATGTCGGTTGGAAACGATAAACCATCAGCCAATTTTGTTTTYAACTGCCCCTTCTGATCAAGGACATCGTCTTTTAAACGTTTCAAAACATTTTTGTTAACTTGCTCATCGTCGTACTCATCCTCTAGCCGCCGACGCTCTTCTTCTTCAATCTCACTCAAATACTTCTTGGCGAGTTGAACTTTTTTCTCACCTGCTGTAATAAACTTTTCGCTTTCCGATTCAGATGAAAACTGTTGTTGGTCATCGTGGTCGGACTCACTGGAATCGGAAGAGATCTCGTCGTCGGCTTGATTTTGAGTCTTTTTCTTCTTGATGTTATTGTTAATGACACGCACCGGTGGTTTTTTTCGTTTCGAAACATTTTTACGTATGAAAAACGACATTATAATAGAAATGTATCGTACGCGAACGAACGGATCAAAATGAACGAGATTATTATAATTAAAAGAAAAATAAAGTTTTCAACAAATAAATAAGTACACGAATAAAGTAAAATGTGTATTCACGTGTATAATACTTTATTAATTTGTCATAATAATATGTACATACAAAAACGCATGCGGCTCAACTTCAAACCATCCTTCAAGTGATAAGTATACTGTATAGTGATTAAAAATTAGGGTTATGTCATGGAATAGAAAACTAACGAAAAATGACTATCGAGTGCTGGTAGGCGTCAACAAACACGAATAAATTTATCAGACTCTCAACCTCAACTCTCAAGCCTAGATTTCCGACTTCTGTGTTTTGTCCTCCGAATTCCGATCCCGATATCCCGAATCCCGAACCTCAACTTAGAAGCTAAGTCAAGTCTTATTCGGTGGTCGCACGCGCAATATTATATTATGTATAGTTTTTAATTTATTTTCGACAATTCGTTACCTCCTAAATCGTTTTTCGGTAGTTAAGTACTTAATTGTTGATCATACCCACCTAATCTTTTTGCTTTATACAGTTTTCGTGTAGGTAAGTCACTAATCATGTTTACGTTCAATTATTGATTGTTGTAAGTGTAAATTTCAACTAATAATAATCTACTTGCAGCAGTTGTTGTATCTATAACTGGACAAACGGTCCAAGAATTAGTTTCTGTTGAAAATATGAGCTCCAATATGGGTGTCAATAACTACATGAATATGTTCGTACAACCTCAAAACGGTGATAGCTCATTGAATAAACGTGAATCATCTGGTACGTTCACAAGTGAAATATCTTTTAAGAAGACAGTTACACTTTGTAAATGATTTATGTGATTTCCAGGTTCTGATGCTAATGACCGCAAGCGGAAGAAAAAGTCAAGATGGGGCGGAAGTGACTTGGAGAAGACATTTATACCAGGCATGCCCACAGTACTGCCTCATAACCTGACTAAAGAACAAGAGGAAGCTTACATTTGTAAGTCAATATCTTTATTAATTATATTAATTTTAAATGTCTTAATATGTGCATGAAATAAATTATTAATATCTAAAAAAAAAAAAATGGAAAGATAATGTTTCTACCTAGTTGATTATGTTTTTTATTTAAAAACATTAAGTCGCGGTGAATGAATTTAAATAAACCAGTATTGTCCAAGTATGTATGGGCAAACAATCAATATTATGTAACTTATTGGAAAGTTCATTTTTATATTGTATTTTTGTAATAAGAGGATTATTTTTGTTTTTAGTGAAATATTTAGCTGAGAAATATCTACCAAACTGTTACAATGATTTAAATATATGGCATTATTGTTGTTATTTGCCTTGTCTTATATGATACATTAATATTTAATAAGCTGTAGTAAGGTTATATACTTATTGGATATAAACCAATTGGTTCACATGTATTAAACTTAAATTTAAAGTTTGATATTAATTTACAACTATATTAAGTATAAATATATATTTAAATAAAGTTAATATGTTCAGTTATTTATTCTTTTTGAAGATTTTTAGGAATAAAATACTATGAGTAGCTTTCTCAATCTATGTACATACAATAATTATGTACTTAAACACTATGGAATAGACTTCATTTTTTTCTTTACAGCGCTGACTACTAACTGCCTAACCCGATGTACAAGAATATGAAAGGATTTGTATATTTTTGGGTTTAGGTAATAATATAACTAGAACATATTCAAAGTTTTTAATTTTTTATTACTTAGTTTTTATTTGGGCATGGTAGTTTATAAAAACTTGCATGTTCCAAAACCAAATATTTTAATCATAATTTAAACTCTATACTCAAATCTATTCTGTAAAAATTATTATATATTTACAATTTTAAATATGAATTGTCATTATGTGTAGTATTAAGAAATATCTAATAATATTTTATCTTTTTTTTATGMTCTTTTAAACTTTTTGCATTTAGGTACCATAGTATACTACTGTGTAGCTTCTGAGTTTTTCATAATATTTGATGTATTCATTTTTATTATAATATGCTTACATCTATTCTATCTAAAATACTATTTGTTTTTTTTTTCAAACTTGTCCGATAAGGTCAATTTATAAATATTTTTGTCACTTTATAAATTAAAACTATTTGCAATCATGCATGAGAACTTAGAAAAACTGGATGTATAAATAAAATTTAACATATATATAAATCTTAACAATTAATTAAAATAATTTTTCTAAATATTTCTATATAATTTAACAATAAAACAAAATATATATATACATATATATTAAAATATGGCAATGAATTAAATTGATATAATGAAATAAATTGATGATTTAAAGTATATTATTTAATAGTAATTTAAATAATTATTATAAAATATTTTGTGTGAGCTATGTTAATCTTTATGTACTAATTTCCGGGCGTTTTTGCCCTATTCTAACCCATTTACATTTTAGTACAACTACAAATAGAAGAAATTGGACGCAAGCTGAGAACGGGAGAGCTGGGCATTCCATCTAATCCTGAAGAAAGGTTTGACTGATTTAGAAATCCATCAACTATTATTTAGCACTACTACTTTCGATACATTATACGGTTTGGTCTAATCATAATATTGACATTTATAATATTATTTGTTTTGTTTTCAGTAGAGAATACACAAAGAATTCCCAAAGGCAGTATTTTAAGATTAGGGTTAATAATTAACCATGGAAAGTTCCACTACTTTGTTTTTCGTTTAAGACAAAATCATTATTATTGTGCATTTTTATATATTTGGCATTTAATTAAATATGGTATTTTACAGTTTAATACATCAATTTATTATTTCCAATAATGAAAAAATAATTTAAATGTTTTGTGGAACTTTCCTTCAATCTTGAATTAATTAAATGAATATTAAGATTTCATTCATTTTGTTAGGTTATTAATGAACTTTTTCTAAACAGGCATAATATGTTTAATTTTAAGTTTAATCACAATTTTCATTAATATTTTTATTTAGCATTTACCTATATTTAAATTTTTAAAGTTAAACCATGTTCTTCCAGTGGATGCTAATCTAAAAATTTTCATATCTTAATATGATGAACATTCAATTTATAATTTAATATATTATGTAATGTCCACGTGACCTTAAAYATTTTTATTTTTCAATAAGTCTAAATTTATGGCTAAATTATTAGATACCAAGAAAGAATTACCAATATTGTTTCAGATCGCCTTCACCAGAACCCATTTATAGCAGTGATGGTAAGCGAATGAATACTAGAGAATATCGAACTCGTAAAAAGTTGGAAGAAGAACGCCATAGGCTTATTCAACGTATGGCAATAATAAATCCTACATTTAAGCCTCCTGCTGACTATAAGTAATTATTAATACTAAATACAAATAATTACTGTCAAAACTAATAAATATACATTTTTAATTACAGGCCTCCAGTTATTCGTGTTAGTGATAAAGTGATGATACCTCAAGATGAACATCCAGACATTAATTTTGTAGGTCTTTTAATAGGACCACGTGGAAATACATTAAAATGTCAGTAAAAATTAACTAATTATTTTGGTATTAAAATGTCATATTTTTACTTTGCATTATTTTATAGCTATGGAAAAGGAAACTGGTGCAAAAATTATTATCCGTGGTAAGGGTTCAGTCAAAGAAGGAAAAGTCGCCCGTAAAGATGGACAACCATTACCAGGAGAAGATGAACCATTACATGCTTATGTAACTGGAAACAATCCTGAATATGTTCAAAAAGCTGTGAACAAAGTATATTTCACGAACATGTTATTATTTAACTAAATATTTATATGTCTTATGATTTATAGATAAAAGAAATTATAAAACAAGGTGTAGAAGTTCCAGAAGGTCAAAATGATTTGCGGCGCATGCAACTTAGGGAACTTGCTCTATTGAATGGTACTCTGAGAGAAAATGATGGACCAAGGTGTTCTAATTGTGGTGCTGCTGATCATAAATCTTGGATGGTAAGTATAATAATTTAATATAATTTTGTGCACTATAATTACTTTTAAATTATGGATTACTGTTTAGGCATAATACAGCCAAAAATAAATTTTCTATAAAAATTATAACATTTAACCCATTTAACCCATTTATTGGTATTACCTTATTTTTTTAGAACTTATTTTATTTTTTAGCTAAGTTGGCTTAAATTAAACAAAATATTGGCCAAATAATTATATGCTTAATATTATTACATATATGTATATCAATACCTCTACAAAATGAGTCATGTATCAGTTAAATTTAAAAAAAAATATATATATTCACACTATCTACTAACCATACTTGAGCCTAATTTTATAACTCAATTATTTATATAAATTATAATAAATTCTATAAATTGTATTATTATTAAATGGTTAGTAGACTTCTGTCATTATTTTATAAATAATTTTACAAAAACTGTTTTAGAAACTTAAAATTCTAAAGTTTCTACTTTATTTATTTTTTTCAGTGTCAAGATAAACCTAATGTTACAAACAGTATATTATGTACTCAGTGTGGTGGAGCTGGGCATATTGCAAAAGATTGTAGAATGAAAAACACTGGCGGTGCTAGTTTTCCAATTAGTCAGGATAAGAATAAAATTGATGAAGAATATATGTCTCTAATGGCTGAACTTGGTGAAGGTCCACCACCACCTAAACATGATGATAATTCCATGCGTCCTGCTGTTGGGAACAGTAATGGTAGTTTATTTAATAAGCCTCAACCATTAAAACCACTTATGTCAATACCGCCACCTCATTCGGTACCAAATTCATTGCCTCCGCCACCCTGGTCAAATCAACCAATGAATGGAGCACCTATGCCTCCTCCTGGAATAAATGTTCCACCTCCCTGGCAAATGCCGCCACCATCAAGTCAGCAGTTTTCTAACATTCCACCACCACCCCCGGTATCAAATCAAAATTTTCAACAACAGATGCCATGGGCCATGCCACCACCTCCGCCACCTCCCAATCAACCAACATCYATGCCACCTCCATGGCAACAAGGTCCACCACCTGCACCTTCTCCTACAACTGTATCTGGTATGTGGCCTCCACCTACTCAACCATGGCCAAGTCAACAACAACAACAGGCAAAAGCTCCACCATCAATGAATCCTCCTACTATGATGATGCCTCCCCCTGATTTGCAAACACTATTAGCAGTGCCACCTCCRCCGCCGCCGCCTCCTCCATCGAATTAAATGATGGCAAGAGTTATGATAAAATTTAATGAATTAAATAGATTTCTCTTTTGCTTGTAGTCAAAATATTGTTTTAACGACATTTTAATACAAGTATTTCTCAAAAACACTTTTGTAAAATAATTTTTATATTTTATTTTTACATTTATTTATGAATAAATATTTGCATGACCAAYTTTAGGACTTTGGGAATTTTAAGTTWACGGTTTTTCTCTTATGTGTAATATATATTTGAAACTAAATAAAAAAAATAAGAAGAGTGTAATTAGTTAATAATTTTTTTGGCTATTATATTATTATTATTTTTTATAGATATGTTTAAAGTTGTTATTTAATTAGTCATTTGGCGCGAGTTAATATATATTGGYAAAAACTAAATTGCATGCGCAGTTTATTGATGTTTAGGCTGGGTCACTGTCCACTGGGATTGGCAGTATAAGAATGGATATGTATATTAATACTCAAGACTGCGTATTTTCCATGGTTCCCGATATATTGTATAGAAATAGTGAAAATTTAAATATTAAAAATTAAAAAGATCAGAATTGTCCTTAGAAATATTCAATTTTGTAATAGGTATTCATATTTTTRATACACCTATAAATTAGATAACAATAACAAAAAATGAATAAAGCAATAAAGCTGTTTACTAAATAAAGCCTTATTGGAAATATAATTTATATTCATCCATCTACACATATACAAGAGTAGAGATATACAAGGGTAGGTACTATAAAATGTACTTGTCTGGTGACCATTGACAACAGGTGTTTATTGTTGAGAGGGGAAACTTATCATTTTTAATGTGCAAATTATTTATATTCTTTATGGATTTGATATACTGTAATTATAGACTATCCRTGGTGGTTAGTATTCTACATATTATAAATTATAATAATATAGTTAATTTTATAYAGGATGATTCATCAAGCATGTTTACCCTCACTTWTTCTTTTAATGATGAATTTATTCTAATTCTAATTTTTGGAATATTTTAAATATTATATATAAGAATATTTCCATATAATAAAGAGTTGGTAGATAAGTAGTAATATRATAGTAGACAGTAAAAGCCAGGTTAAAAAAATCCTGCGAAAAAAGTAAGGTTTATTTATTATATATATTTAATTATAAGTACCTATACATTTTTCAACTTAATTCAATATTATAGGCATAGATACAAATAGTGTTTGAGCAATGAATTGTGAAAGCCTTCTATAGGTTACTTTTTATGAAATTTTGTAAGTAGTGTACAATGTATGAAAATTTAAGTAGGTTAAACAAGTATTAAATCTCCTACAAAAAAATTAAGTGAATATTGTTGACTTTTGATGAACGCCCAACCAATTAAAAATATCTAAATTATTAGGTTGTGATTTAAATTTTAAGAATTTAAAAACTGATTTTAATGTTTTTAACTTAAATGAACCTGTTGTAATTTTACCAGACCTGGCACATATGATAAATTTAGTTCGAAATACTTTTGGTGTTTTGGTCATGACTAAATAATAGGCTTTTAGTGAAAAACTTATATAAAACTTATAATTATTATTATAAATTAATTATATATTATTGACCGTGTGTCCGTGTCATTTATTTTATATTATCTGTGATCTTTTATCTATTATCTTAGTGACACGGATATAAATACTATCACGGAATAATTATTCAATATTGTTCTGTGGTGATTTAATCCAAAGAGGCATAGACATATTAATTCATTGACCTATTTATAATTAATAGGTCAATGTATTAATTATTAATATTTAATATGTCTATGATTTAATCTATTCTATGATACTACAGACCACGGTCTTAGAAGATCTTCTAAGACCGTGCTACTGACACCATAGCTGATATTATAAGAATCTTATAATCTCTTATAATATCTATGACTGACACTATTTTTTTATAATATTTTTTTACTCGTTGYGAGATTTAATATTATCACGTTATCAAGCTCCAATTTCTTAACAAATAGGTATAACCTTCAAAACTAATATCGTCAAAACAGTATTTAAAATGTTAAAAACTTAAAACTGATTGTTTAACTTCAGGCTTCAGCATTTAAATTTCATATTTACTTTCCAATTTCTGAGTTCAGAGTTTGTTCTTGTTCTTGAATAATAAATTAAGTAAGTAATAGTTATCACTTTTCAGTTACTTCAAACTTGACTATTAACAGATAACCTCATAAATTGTTCTTTGTGCAGAGTGCATAGCGACGTTAAGTCTAGTTTGCGTCAGATTACGCAACATTTTATTAAGTTTTGAATCCGTTCCGGTATTTTTCGACAGTAAAAAATGATGCCTTTGATTAGCGATAAATCCATAACACCGTCGTCGGAGAATAAGCCCGCCGAAGAACCAAAGAAATTAAAAGCTTGTTGTGCTTGTCCGGACACTAAAAGAGTTCGAGATGCTTGGTAATATTATTGTTTTATTAATTATGCAACTACTTGGTATTTTTGATTTCATGTTATATGTGGGCGGTAAATGGAAAAAAGGTCCCTATTAATCATACAGAAAACATAATTGTAGCTTAATTTTAATTGTTACTTTTATTGAAACTTTTATTCATGTAATTGGTAGTTGATTACTCCCATACAAGTTTTTCTCATCAAGGCCCAATATTCTTAAAAGATAAAGTCTCAATGATATATAGATATATCAGGTATAAATGTATTTTTAGTATTTTTATTTTTATAATATATTTTTTTTATTTTTATAATATATTTTTTTTAATTTATATAATAATTACCTATGAGTAATTGTGAAAAAACCATTACTTATCTATACTCATGATTATATTACGCGTGCAATAAACTACTTTTCGCATGACATGACTAACGCGCAGAAACCATTACGAAAACCATTGTGTCTCTATTTAAARGAATTTATTGACATTACCGAAGAACCAGCAGACATACTAGATCAGGGTTCAGGGGTGGCCACTAATCTTAACTTTGGTTTAAGTTTATAAAGTTAATTTGAGGTTAGTTTTTTTWAAATTTAATTTAATCATTAAAATTCAAGATTTACAATGAAATAATAATAATGTTGAGTGCTTTTAAAATAAATAATACGGAAGTCATTGGTTTTCCACTCCCATGAAAGAACTTATATTGCCTAAAACAATTGTATAAATTGACAAACAGGTAGTTCTCTTTGATTTGTGAAAAAACTCAAAAATAGCAGTATACAAGTTTTGATGCAATATATAAATTATAAAAAAGCATTTAAATGTGTACATATTTGTATACATTTTTAACAAAGGTAATAAATAATGATAGTACTTTACTAACTTTTTTTAATCTTGAAACCTTGTTCAAGTTTATAATGAAACCAATACCATATAACAAATCAGTTTGTCACACAGGATTCTTAAATTAGTAGGTTTTACTATATTTGTTCATTATAAATCAATTAAAAACATTTTCTGTTTAGTTTTATCAAATAAAATATTTATTTATCTGTGTTGCAAGTTTCATTTTTTTTTTTAAAATTTATTGTGAGTTGATCAACATGGAAAATTCCTTAACAAACACAATATATCCAACTATATTTTTAAAATTTGATTTGGTATAATAAAATATACAGTTTAATATCATATTGTGTTAATGTATATTAGTAATTTGGATGTTAAATATTTTGTACAATTTCATGTTGAAGTTCTATTCTAATATAATATTTATTATTMAATTTGTAATCATATACATAATCATATTTAACCATATAATAACATTTATTATAGCTCATACTATTTATAATAATATAATATAATGTATATAAAAAAAGACAAAACTAAATCAACAAAAATCTAATATTTTTATTTTGACAGTATTCAAGTATCATTATCATACAAGTAAAAAATATACCTTAAATCTGTTATTACTAAAACTAAACACACACATATACGCATATATTTATATATATATATATATATATATATACATGTATTTATCTATACTTTATGGAAACCCAAGTTATTGATGTTATCTCTAATAATATAATAACTACAAAAAAAAATTGGTTCATAGACCATTATTTGTTAATTACTTATTTGATGTTTTACAGTATTATGGAAAACGGAGAAGAAAAATGTAGGCATCTAATTGAAGCACATAAGGAATGCATGAGAAAAATGGGTTTTAATATTTAAATAGTAAGCATTCCTAAGTCTGATGTAAATGTTTTTTTTTTTTTTTGTACAAATTTACATTGTAGATACATTAATTTTGTCTAGTCTATTAAATGTATTAATTTAAAAACCAAACACTATTTATTTATTTTACAAGTGCTTGTTTAGATGATAAATAAATTAAATTATGAAAAAAAAAATATATATTCTATAAACTACAATATTTTATTAAAATCACTTCCTTAAATTATGGATTTGAAGTATGATTAAATATTCTAAGTGTAATAATATTTTTTAAACAATATAATTTGCGTTTAGGCTATAATTTTATAATTTTATTTGACAGAATTTAGAATGTATAAAAAGGAAAATTAAAATATAAACAAAATCTTTAAGTTCTGCAAAACTAACTGTGGTTTCTTGATAGTTGTTATGAACCACGGGTAGATTTAATTGTTTTGCCGCTCTGCAACAATTAAAACATTATTAGGTATAATCATTGTTTTTTTTTTTTTTTTATTAAAGTAGAAAAAAATATACAATCTGTATAACATAATACAATTAGTAATTTAGATAACATTTTTACCAGTCTGGACGGCTTGAGGGAAGGGAGAGTCCATTGACACTACTTCCAATATGAACTTTGGTTAAATTAAATTTTTATTGTACATAATAAGT